TGAGTTAGTAGTTTTTTTTTTCTTCTTGCTACTGCTGCTTATGACTTAAAACTGGGATTAATCATCATTTATTACTATTGTCATATTTGTTTATAGCTAAGCAATCAAGACTAAATAATAATAATACAGTCTGCAGAACTCAATGTACAAACTCAAACTTTACATTATCTTATCTATCTTACTCAGCTTCTAACATAAAGATTCATTTCAGTTTTCCAATCCATGAAAATTATTTACAGCATTTAAATTTTTATGTAATGGTTAAAAATAATTCAGTGACAGAGGGTTTTAATTAAAGCATCTTCAAACCTCACACATAACATACTGCTGACATACTAATGTTACTTTGATTGCAGCAGGTCATCAGAAAGTGTAGATTACTTAACAATATTACATAATTTTATAATATCCAATGAAGTACACTTGAAAATGTATTAAGGCATAACAAACAAACAAATAATTATTTTATTTTTCTTCTTTTCAGTAAATGGCAGAGTCATGTTGGACAGCTTCGTACAAAGGGCTCCAGGATGTTGGTTGTGCAGCAGCTGAGTTCACAAACAGCATTTTAAATATGATCATCACAGACAAGCAGCCGCTGTCCGTGGTGGAAGATGAAGGATCCAGAAGATCATCTCCACCTTCAATCCAAATGATGTCCTTCCTTCCAGATCCTACTTTGTAAATTCCATTCAGTTTTCCAATCCATAAAAATTACTTAAGCAATGAAATATTTTTAAAAAGAGGAATTAAATGGGTTGTTTATTTAATGTTCTTTTTCATGTATTTGTATTACTCATAAAATGAGTACGGTAGTTACTGCAGAACCGGACAATTTTTGTTTTCGATTACCCAATTAATCGCCAGAATAATCTATAATTTACCCGATTACTAAAATATTTGTTTACAACAGCCCCAGTTGAAATGTACCTACAATAAAAAATAGACCTCTCCATTCTTTGTAGGTGGGAAAACTTACAAAATCGGCAGTGTATCAAATACTTGTTTTCCCCACTGTATACAATATAAATATCTGAAGTCCAGTCCATACACATACATCAAATAAGTACACATAACTTTAAAGTACATCATGTCTGAAAAGTTTATGGTCCATACGAAGAGAGCTGTGTTCTACGCAGATGAAAGGCAAAAAAAAAAAAGCCGTTCCTCATTGTTAGCCTAGCTTTTGTGAAGGAGTTGACACCCCCACACACACACTCAGCCCACACACTCCCCCATTTACACTGACTATATGCACAAAAGTTGTTCAACATTAAATATCAAGATAATAATAGTGGGCATTGTTTGGAAGGAGGCACTGAGGAACCTGAAACTTACGGAGAAAAAAAGAGACAGTTGAGAGTAAAAGAGCAGCGTGTGAAGGATTACATTTATTGTTTGGGGTTTGGTTTGATAAGAAAACAGAAATATATCAAATACCAGGTCATAAAGAGTCACTTAACTTTATACAGGAATACAGGTCAGTAAAACTAAATCAACTCACAAAATGGAGATTTTAATCATTTTAAATATTATTTAAAGTTCATGAGCCCCAAAATTCAAAATTGACCTGGTTTTCATCCTGTGCTTTACTAAGTAGAGCAGGTGAACTGAAACAATGAGTGATTGCAATGACGCGCTTTTGTGTTAGTCAGCACTGGCCTCTAGCCATGCCAGGTGAAGCACAAGAGGAGTATGTGGGTGGAAACCTAGAAATTTGATGATGTTCTAAACCAGTGAGGAAATGCAGAGCACAAAAGATTTGAGAACAATCATAAAGACAAACAACTACTTCCCTCCAGCATCTAGAAACAGAATTACGAGAGAACACTGCCCAGGTGTTTCAAGCAACAAGCGTCAAAAGAGGACTGCTTTCGGTGAGGCGTTTAAGAAAAGCACAAAAACTGCAGCTCTCAGGGTGGGACAAAGGAAAAACAAAGGAAAAACTTGCAGATCCTTGAAAATGACTATGGCCATAAAAAAGGACGAAAATCCAATCAAAGTATCAGAGAACAGGCAAACTCCTGAAGATATTTAGCTGCAAGGTGTCAAGATAGAATAACTTGTGTTATTGCCCTGACAATGGCATCATTAGCACTTGTCATTAACAGCTGTTCGGTTCAAGAGTTTACCCACGCTCACACCCCTACCCACGAGAATTTCAACAACACCTATCACTGCCAAATTGACTCAGACCTTTCAAAAAGCTAGGACTGGGTTAGATATTTAGTTTGAGTCATTGTCTGTGTGTGTGTGTGTCTTCTTACTACATTGTTTATATGAATAGAGAAAAATAACAATGTTTTAAGCACACAATGAGGCCCCAGCAGAGTATCAATCAGCCATGCACCTCTTGAAAGCATCAAAGACTGCACAGAAAAATAACCTTACACACCCTTTTAAAAACACTCACGCACCCTGCACTTACCCACTTTTGTGCATATATACTCAGACACACACCATTCTCACTGACTCACCCATACTGACAAAAGCATGCGCGCGCATACACACGCACACACACACGCAATTACATAAGCACCCTAGGAGTTTGGCAAAGAAGATGCAAAAATCAGAGTGGGAGGCCAAGCACCTGGATGAACAGATTATGGTCTAAACCCCACCAGAGACACATAGATGATCTGCTGCAAACTTTAATTTTTCTCCTTAGTGTGGGTTCTGGGCCTCTCTTCGCCTGAGGAGCACTGCAAACCTCAGTAACCTTGGCTCAGACAGTCTCAAAAATCAGCTCATCACTGCTGGGGTTGACAGAAAGTCATCCTGGAGGGTTTTATGACAGAATATGTATTTTCCAAAGGCATCAAACTGACATCATATGCATACATCATAATATTATATAATCATCATCATTAGACATTCATCAAATGAGCAATAAAATGCTAATAAAAAATGAAGTTGCGTGTTGTGATGTGTTTAAGAATGATAATATTTTACTTTTACTTTCTTGTGAATGCTTGAATTGGCCCCTTGAGGTGACGGATTTTTGAAGTCTTGCAGTTTGCAACTTTATCGGAACTCAACTCTGGCAGAGCTGAGCAAAAACACTTCTCCTACATACGCATCATCTCCTACATTAACTCCCATGACAGCCTTTCATATGTCATCATTACCACTACTCCAACTGAACTCATAAGTACATACAGTCTACATTGTGGTCTGAGGTCTGATGTCTTTACTTAAGATTGTCACGCCACCTGGTGGCCATTACGCCCAACACCACACTCTTTCAAAGAAATTGCTTCAGCAAGAACTGTACAGTTCGGAGACAATATTCAGAAATTAATGCAAAATAAAAAAGTTAAACATATCTTTAAACATTAATTTGCACAAAATTGTAACAAAATAAACAACCTGAAACAAATTTCTTATTGTAACTTTTGTTAATGGAAAATTGGGGATTCAAGTACTTATAACAACATGCTGAAGTACCGGTATAATAGCACTGATCAAGGATGATGTCAAAAGAATTGTGGGGAATCGTCAAAGTCCTGGATGTCTGGCAAACAAGGCAGTAGACCTAAAGCATATAGATACCTCCAATGCATTTGTCCATGTTAACTTAAATGAAGACAATGTTCCCTGGGCCAAAATCGACTTGGAATATGTTGAAGGATACAGCTCAAGTGTTGGCTACAATGCAGGGGACCAGTAGTGTCAGCAACTGGGCCAAATTGATAAAGAGGTACATGCGGCGTTCCTGGTGTTTCCGTGCTGATTTGTGCAGATTTGCTTTGGGGACAGACAAAGAGCACGGATAGAATATTTTGTGTAGGATGTATGCCATTGATTCCCCATGTTTTGCATAGGTTTTCTGCGGCAAGACGAAGAATGATTTTGCCAGCCGCTTCTTTCATTTTGCGTTGTTCCTTCTCCAACGTTAGTCATTAGCTGTTACCAATTGGTTCATTTACTCTATTCTTCATAAGTGAAAACATTCCAAGCGGGAGCTGAATTAAGTGCATAGATAAATTAGCGCGGGCGGGTTGAAAAAGACGTTCAGAGCTTCTGTTAGTTTTTGACATGAAAGGAATAAGCGGGTAAAACACAATAGCTGGATGGACATACATGTTCAGGGACTGCAGTCACTGGTATGGGATCAGGGTACTCCTCTGTCGGTCCGTTCCCTCCAACCAAGTGTTTTGAACAGATGCATAAATGATTCTTGTTTACATTTATCCGGTCGAAACCAACTCGGCCACAGAGTCAAATCCAACTATCATATTTCTCTCTTTGAGTAATCGGCAAGAACCATAAACCTTGCATACAAGGCATGTCAGCACGGCTGTCTCTAATGCAAGTCCGGTAGCAACAACGCTTCTTAGATACCATTTTTCTGCTGTTTCTTTATCTGCGCAAACCATAACTACAGCACTGTACTGTATTATAGTTGAAGTTCTGTTTGCCAGACATTTGGGTACTTTCTTGACTTGACACCATATAATGCGTAGGGAACTATTTTTAGTAATCCTGACCAGCGCTATTGGACCAGACACTGTATCCCATGTTGTTCTACCGCCCAGTCTGGTTATAAGTGACAGTAAGACAAAGAACATAGGGATTTTAATTGATTATTAAAGTGTTATATGTTTAAAAGAAAACACTATAAAACCCTCTAAGAAACCTAGATTTTAAAAGGTATATATATATATATATATATATATGTGTGTGTGTGTGTGTGTGTGTGTGTGTGTGTGTGTGTGTGTGTGT